CCCAGGAGCCCATGAATCTGTGCCAGGTCACCAAATAAAAGGGGCGCAATCACGCAGCCCGCCAGCCCGATTAGCAGGCATGGCCTGTGCCAGCTGCAGTGCTCCGAGGATGTCCCTTCACCACTCGAGAGATCTCGAGAGAAAACAGAAGCAAACTGAGATGACACTCACGTGCACGTGCATCATCACCAACCCACAACACCAGAACGTACCACAACAAACAAAATCAAGCACTGCAAAACACACACGATTATCACCTGCACCTGAACTTATACATCCGTACATCAGTACATCCATCCATCCATCCATCCATGCATGCATGCATGCAAATATCCCTACACCGGCTGCCCAGGTGCATACATATTAAAGAATTAATGTCAATTAATGTGTATCCATGCACGCATAAAGCTTACCGTCATCAGCATCTCTATGTATGCTGTGGGTTTTAGCTCTGCCCAATACGTTGTTTGACAGGCCGGTACACATGTACTTTGTTTGCTTGTACTTGTGTTTGTATTTTCACCTGCAGATTGATGCTTGTTCCCTCTCTCTCTCACACAACAAGTGCATGCGTGCATACTCGCCTGCTTTATCTTGCTTGCTTGATTGCTGGCTCATGCTGGCTCGCTTCCTTGCTTCGTTGCGCCCTTTCGTCCATGTTTCCTTCCTGTCCTTCCTTCGTTCCTTCCTTCCATCCCTTCCTTCCCTCCCTGACTCCCTTCCTTACTTGATTGCTGACCTACTTGCATTCATCTGTACATACGTACAAACGCATGTACCTATATAATATGAACAAGAAGAGAACGTGTACATCGCACAGAAAGTGATCGTGGATCAGCACGAGTTACTCTCAGATGCTCACCGTCTCCCGATCATGTCGGCCAGCATGCCCCAGAAAGGAGAGACAATCACCTCGTGCAGCTTAGGCTTTTGCTGTCTGGGCCCACAATCCGCTGGAGCAAGGGATGCACCACTCGCCTCGAGGAGTGAATAGACCCCGATGAGCAGAGCAGCCTCGGACGACAATCCAGAAATGCCAACTCAGCACTTCTGTCACAGGGAGACGACGCAAGCCTCATGTTACTTCGAGCTTGGCCACAGTTGTGGCTACTTCGGGGCTCTGTGGGCTGACATCCAGATAGGCGGACACCATCTTGTCGACGTATGGCAAAAGCATGTTCATGTTGATACTGTCCTGAGAGTCTGCAGCATGGACCACGCTCCCAGACAAGAACCAGTCAGCCAAGACTCAATCAGGTTAATGGCACCAACCACGAACAGCGTCTTTGCATTCAGTCGAGGCTTCGCCTGCTGGTGGGCTGCTTGTGTTGTTTCTCAGAGTTCCTGCAGCAAACACAGGCCATCTGCAGAACAGCATTCTTTGCTTGGCAAATACTTCCTTCGGAATGAGCAAGAGCCCGGCATCGCTAAAGAGCTGTGCAGAAAGCCTAATGCCTCGGTTGGGGCTTGTGGAGGCTGCGCAGACATGGCTTGTGTAGCAGCACAGGGGCACACGCGCGTCTCTTCGTGCCTGAGCCACAAAAGCAGCTGCAGCGTGCATGGCCTCCATGTGCGGAACCTCCAGAGCACCACGACCCTCACACCTCCTGAAAGATCCTGAGCATCTCCACACTACTCATTTCGTGCCTGGTGGGGCAAAGAGCTGGGGTCGGTGCGTCGAGGTTCCTGTGGCACAATACCATCATGAAGTGTTTCCGGAGAAAGATGGCTACGCCCTTAGTGCCAGTAATGGACGCAGGGACTACGGAATGTAATCGAAAGCGAGACCAACTTTGCTTCTGCGCAGGCCTACGCCTGCAGCCATGGCTTTGCATCTCAGAGGACTCACAGGGTGCGATGAGCTGTCTTGGCTAACACCAACGGTAACGATTCATAGACGGACAAAGGAAAGTTGCTGTGTCAACCACATTGATACTCAACGAGCCCTCGCTGGAGCCCGAAGCAACGCCAAATGAGGGCCAACCGAGACCAACTGCCAAAACACTGTACATATCCTGCCAGCACTCGAGCTGAGACCGAGACTGAAAAGCCCGAGGCAATCCCACACAATTCAGCCCGCCGTTTTTGATTCCATTGAAGCGAAAACTCATCCTGTCTCCAGGTGGCAGTCTTTGGCACCTGATCTTCTGCTGCCTCTTAGACTCGTCATGCCGCGGTGCATGCCCGCCTGACCTCGTTTTATCTCCTTTACCTTTCCATTAGCATCCAGTTTACAACAACTAAAGAACTGCCACTGCTTTCAATTCGGACAGAAAGGCTCGCAGGTTGACGGTGACGAGGCATGACAGCGAGAGACAGGTGAGAGCACAGCCGGAACATGTCGCCATGTCAACTCGGTGCATGCAGGATTCCTCTTCGTGGAGGCACAGTCTCAAGAAAGGTTTTAGTAGTCTTCAACAACGCATTCCATCCGTAATCCCTACTTACAGAAGTTAGGACACGTCTGAAGTCTGAAGAGGCATGCAAGAAAATGAAAACCGATGGCGTCGTTGACTGGTGCTTCGGACCCGTCATGCCTTCCTGTGTTCTCAACAAGGCGACGTGTTACTGGCTCGTGCATGTGCAAGCGAGGCCGCCAGGCACTAAGGCTCTAACCCCAACGGAAATGGGGCCAGGAACTTCGCAGAAAGGAGCCGGATCCAGCCTTTCTTCAGAGATCTGCCAGGTTCCCGACCCAGAAAATGCGCGGGGGCTGCCTTCGGGGCCGAAGGCTCGGTGGAGCGGTCAAACACCGCCCTCAGAGCCTTCGCTTCAAAGGGCAGCAGGCTTTGCAGCCAAGTAGATTTATTCGGGGGCGGCCTAGGGGTTCCACACGCAGTACCGCAGTACCAGCTATGTGCAGATACGTCTCATACTGTACAAACAGAAAGTAGATGTAGCAATGTGACACTCGCCATGTCGAGGTTGCATGACCTGCATGCATTCATGCATGCACACACCAGATACATGCATACATGCATACACGGGAATATAAAGACAAGGGTCAATCAGCTGTCCAATCGAGAGCACGGAGCAATTGCCCAATCACCGCTTCTTTCTCGTTGCTCACGCTGCTTTGGCTTTTAAAGTACTCGGATTTCATCTTGACGAGTCATGATGTTTCCTGACAGCGCGAAGGCTCTGTAAACTCGTCTGTCTGGAAAATGCGGGTCTTCCTGGATATTCTGTTCGGCACGCTGCTCTTGTGTTGAGCTCCAGTTCATCCGAAAGATGGGCCTAGAATCCAGGCCGGCCCTTCGAGTGCATCACGCTTGGAGGCGAACTCGACTCGCTGCGAAGAAGAGTCAAGCGGCTAGTTTCTAGACTGGCAGCTACTCTTGGCAAACTGGCGGCACCGGATTGTCGCAATTAAATCATTGCTGTTGCGTGTGCTATCACTGGAGCTCTTCTTGCTGCGATCACTACATGACGACTGAACACACTAATGTTACTTGTACTACGCTACTGCTGCTGCTGCCACAACTGCTGCTACTACTACCACCACCACCACCACCACCAACCACGACCACCACTACCACTCCCAATCCAACTGCCATTGCCAATGCCGACTGTGCTCGCTGTGCAGTGACCAGATCATGATACTCATACGTCAGCCTTTTGATTGATATCAACAATTAGCTTTTGACATTCTTGCTAGCTATACTAGTGTTGCTGCGCTAGTGTTGCCAATGCTATAGTGCTTAAGGTTGTTTAATTGCTTTAAATATCGGTACCAGCAGTACCAGTACCAATGCTGCCGATGTTGCTCCGAGCACGGTTGCGACTACGATCACGATTCCAACAAGGCTAATGCCACGACCATTGCCACTACCACTACAGCTACTACTACCTACTACCAACTACCAACTACCAACTACCAACTACTAAATACCAAATACCAACTACCAACCACCACTGCCACTACCGCTAGCAGTAGCACTAGCAACAGCACTAGCACTACCGCTACGACTCCTCCTACCGCTACTGCTACTGGCTGCTTCCGCTGCTGGCTGCTGGCTACTGGCTGCTCCTGCTACTCAGCCACCTCTCCTACTCCTACTCCTAGTCCTACCCCGGCTCCAACTCCCACTCCCACTCCGATTACTCCTCCTACTAGTCCGACTACGCCTACGACTTCTACTACTCCTATTACTTCTTCTACAACTACTACAACAACAACTACTACTACTACTACGACGACGACTACTACTACGACTAGTACGACCACTACTACGGCTACTACCTACTACTACTACTACTACTACTACTACTACTCCTACTACTACCACTACTACTACTACTACTACTACTACTACTACTACTACCGACTACTACTACTACTACTACTACTACGACGACGACGACGACGACGACGAAGACGACGACGACGACGACGACGACGACTTCCACTACGGCGACTACGACTACCTCTACGACATACTACGACTACTACTACTACTACTACTACGACGACTACGACGACGACGACGACGACGACGACGAGTACTCCTCCTCAGACTTCTACTCCTACTCCTGCTCTTTCTTCTCCTACAGCCACAGCTACTGCACAACGATTACCATTGCTGCTGTTTCAACTGTCCTGGTGATTTTCCTAGTGCCTTCTGCTGTCACTGCTTCTGCCGCCGCTGCTGCTCTGCGGCAACGTTTACTCGCTTGCACTAGAGCGCGCTGATCTTTGCAGCGAGTTCGATTTTTGGTCGGACAACTGCATGTCGATCCGTGATCGCAAGGCATCTCCGCCTGCACAAGCTTCAGCAACTGCAACCCTCGTCAGAACGGGAAAGAACCAATGGGGCGCAGGGCTTCTGCTTCTGGGTGTGGTGTCGATGTTCCTTTGGCATTCGAAAATTTACTTCTCTTGCAGCACCGGCGCTGGGCGACTGTGGAGAGTACCTTGAGGGCCCTGTCTACCCACAAGCCCGAAGGCTTTTGTCCGAATGGTGCCACTTCCACACAGTCCCTCCGGGAGCGCTTGCCTGTCACTCCAAGACCGTGTAAGTTGTGCTCCGACTCACCTGGGCCAGTTCAAGAGTATGCAGGCGTGGCAGCAGTCCTCTCCGCAAGATATGCTCTTTGACACTGGAATGGACTCATAAATCCAAAACTTCTTGGTTGCAGCCTCAGCCCTTCTACTCTGCGGCCTCCAAAGTCCAGCGCCGGCTGCCATCCAAAGCCTTCAGCTGCATGGAAAAGTCGCATTGCTACTTGTCTTGTCGAAAACCGGCAATCGTAATCGGACTACCATGCAACGGCACGAGTTAAGTACACACTTCTGGACCATTCCCGAAGCACACAAGAGACTGTGCTGTTCAGGCCATGCAGTGGCATCTGTACTCATCTGCTGCCGAATACTTCAGCCGAAGAGCTGTGGTAGACGCAGGAAAGCCCTGCAGCGGCAGCACTTGCAGTGAGTCGGAATGAGATCGCACACAACAGAGGCCTTGAATTTTTGGTTTTCTTCTGAGCATGGCCTCCATGGAGTCTGCGCGCCACGGGCTGCCACGGACCATCAGCGAGGCAGATCGAGTGCTGTCGATCGCCTCGTGGCGCAGTTGCGATGCAGCACGAGCAAAAGCAGTTTTCAAGATACATAGTTACATAGTAGTAGTCGTCGTCGTCGTCGTAGCAGCAGGAGCGGCACTAGTAGTAGTTGTGCTACCACTGATACTACTACTAGTACTTCTACTGCTCCTCCTGCGAAGGGTCTCGGCTGAAGCACAGAAGCGGTCAGGTAAGGCAATGTCTTCTTGGAGAATGGCCGTCGCGGTTTTGCTCTGATTGCTGTCTCCACTGCGAAGCATGAACGTTGCAGCTGCTTCCAGTAAAGAGGACATTCGGCCGGACGGGTCCCAAGTGAAATCGTTCCTTGATGATCTGAATGAAAACATGACTGAATTGCAGGGAACAGACCCGAGGGTAGGGTGGCTCACCACCAACCACCCGGGAACTCCTTCGGGGGTGAAGCTCGCTGGGAGAGGCGAGACGCTACAATCAAATTCATTGAGCAGGGCGCGGAAGCACTCATGTCGCAGGGCGTGCCACAGAGCGGCGCAGACGGGATACACCTGGTACCGAGGTCATGTGGGTCACAGTGCAGACCTGAACGCTGCCATACGCTGCCTATGTGCACGGAGGACGTGGAATGCGCTCTGAAGCTAGGCCGCGCTCCTCATGCGCACGGAATCATGGGCCTGTGCACTCTCGGCTGAGAGTGATGACACTGAACTGTGGCGGAATGTCTGCAAATTTTTATGACGTTGTCTGTGACTGGTTGCGGAGGGACATTCAGTAAGTGTGACGTGGTTGTTTTTCAGGAGGTACACTGGGGGCTGGGGAGACAGGATGCCGCTTGGTGTATAAAGGGCTGGTCTTTTCTGGTTACAGCGGACCCGGATTCCATACACAGCGGAGTTGCGATGGCCATCTCTCTACCGGTACCTTTATGCAAGGGGCAGTTCACGGAAAATTCAGGATCCTGTTCACATTGCACCAGGCTCCATCGTTCCGCCGCCCGCCTTCTGTGGAGGTGGTGCGGCAATGACAATGCAGCCTTTCAGGGTTGCTTTTGTGATCTTCCACATAGGGGATCGGGTGACCTGCGGTCACTACCAGGCTGGCTTGTGCAACACGGAATCATCCGCTCGTGTGCCACAAGCGAACAGCGCAGTTGCCACGTGGGCTTTTCATATCTGTAATGACAGATGCAGGTCAAAGCCGGCGAGAGCAGCTGATCTGCGTTGCAGTGCGAGCTATTGGTTAATGCACTTGTGCTGTGCGCACGTTGAACACCCGTGCCCTTAATGCCTCCGTAGCCCAAGCACTGCTTTGCTTTGATCCACTCGCCACAAGCTTGGATTCAACTTCTGTTCGTGCCAGTTGTTGCCTATGTATGCACGTCTCCCTGCCCCAGTAGTTCCCTTTCTGGCCCGAGACGGCGGTATGGCCACACCCATAGAGCTACCTGCCTGTGTCTATACTGAGCAGCTTGAAGAATGGCTCCTGTACCAGGCGTTCAGCAGCTTGTGGCAGGAACAATTGCGCTTGCGGTTCGCAATGACTTGATACAGGAAGCTATGGAAATCCTCGACCAGGCCAATCATGCGGTCTTTGTTCAATATGTGGAGCAGCTGCAGCAGGTCATTCCTTGACACAGGTCAGTCTGCTTTCCTGTCCCGGATCCTGTGCCGGCCTCCTTTTCGGCCGCTGAACAGCTGGCATATCAGATGCTTGTACAGAGGCATGGATCACTCTGGACGGCGGTGAGGCAAGTTGCAGCTTTGCTGCCCTTTGAAGGCAACCGGCGAGTGATTGGTAAGCATCGCTCCTTCTCAGTGGGTGCATATGGGCATCGCGGCCACGTAGGGATGCTGAAGCTGACACTTTAGCACACAGCAGTTTGTCAGCCGGCAAATGCCTTGGCCACGCTGCTGCAACGCTTACCTTCAATGTCAATTTTGCGGCTCCCATCCACACTGACACCAGCAATGCCACTTTTGAAACTCTGGTGATTGGTCTTTCCCACTTCGATGCAGGTGAATTGTGGGTGGCCGAGGGGCCCTGACTATCAAGAACATCAGGGCAGGCTCCTGGCGGGCAGAACCTACCATGTTCGCGGTGCCGCTCTTCTCTTTCGGGCCAACTCTGTGGCACACGCCGTCTCGCAGTGGTCCAATGGGGATCGTATCACGCTTGTTGCTCATACTATGGGTCAGTACAGGCAGCTTCGCGAGGATGACCGGACCGATCTACCGAGGATGGGATTCGGGCCTGCCAAATGGGTCCCTGCCCGCTTTATCTCTTCCCCTCTCTGAAGTAGCGGTTTTGGGGTTTTGTCTTGCCTGGGTCAAGCTGTTCTGGTGCGTAGGCGATTAGGTAGGGGTTTCTGTCTCGAACTGCAACGCACAGCAGTGTGCAGAATGCACTTTTGCTGACATGGCGCTGTTCGTGTAAACACGCGCTAGTGGAAGCCATGTCTGCATCTCCTTGTGTTGCCAGTGTCAGCGACAGCGCCTGCTAGCTTCATGCATGCTGTGAAACCTGAGCAGGAAGTGTGCCTGGCATGTGGACCTGTCTTGACATGCATCCACCGAGGTCGGTGCGAGGGCCGATTCTAAGGAAGCTCGAGCAGGTGGGTCCCTGCTCCAGTCTGGTTGCTTGGGTATTCGTACCGGGCCAGCCCTTGGCCTTAAGTTCTGGAATCCAGTGATGAAGCAGTGCAGCACAGATGGATGTGGCAGATGGTTTTTCGGCAGGCATGACACCTGTTGTTCGGACTGTGGTCAGGTGACAACGGCAATGGTTGTTATGGGCTTTAGTTTGCATACACGATGCTGTCAGAAAAATCAGAGGCGACATTGGCGAGCACAGGAGGCCCTGCTTTTGGAGGTGGCAACGTACTGCTTCTCACGACTCCTGGCTGTCATGCATGCTCCTTCATCGGGTCGCGTGCATAGTCGTCGTTGCAACCACCCGCAGCCTCAAACATTCCGTCCCACCAATCAGCGACCTGCGGGCAACGATGGTCGGAGTGCTGGCCAGCCGAGCAATGTGCGGGCTAGCTCACACAATGATGAGGACCGTGAGGCCGTTCAGGTGCCGGAGTGCACGGGCAGCAACCGGCACGATGCTGGCATGGAAACAAGGGAGGAGACGGATGCACAGACAAGCTTTCTCTTGATTGATCTTTCGGCAATGGATTGATCGGTGATCAGTCCTTATGACTGTTGTAGCTTCGTTGCGAAATACGCATATGACGTAGCGGCTACTAGCTGCCGGGCAGAGTTGCCTGTCTCTCGCTATGCCTCAGAAGATGTAGTAGCAGCAGTAGTGGTGTAGTGGTGTAGTGGCGTGGTCGCGTGGGTAGTGGTAGTACTGGTAGTACTGGTAGTAGGGGCAGTAGTAGTATTCGTAATAGTACTACTAGTAGTACTAGTACTAGTAGTAGTAGTACCTACTACTACTACTACTACTACTACTACTACCACCACCATTACGAGTACGAGTACTAGTAGTAGTACTAGTACTAGTCGTAGTCGTAGTCCGCTGTAGTTGTTGTAGTTGTTGTAGTTGTTGTAGTTGTAGTTGTTGTTGTTGTTGTTGTCGTTGTTGTGATTGCTGTAGTTGTTGTAGTTGTAGTTGTAGTTGCAGTTGCAGTTGCAGTTGCAGTAGTTGCAGTTGCAGTAGTTGCAGTTGCAGTAGTTGTAGCTGTAGTAGTAGTAGTAGTAGTAGTAGTTGTTGTTGTTGTTGTTCTTGTTGTTCTTGTTGTTCTTGTTGTAACCATCAGTAGTAGAATTCGTGGTGGTGGTTGCCGCAGTGGTTCGTCGGCATCGTCGTCCGCAGCAGTGGGAGTGGAGGAGTGAGACGAGGATGAGCAGGAGCAGCAGCACGACAAACCGCAGCAGCCGCAGCAGCAGCAGCAGCAGCCGCCGCAGCAGCAGCAGCAGCAGCCGCAGCAGCAGCAGCAGCAGCAGCAGCAGCAGCAGCAGCCACAGCAGCAGCAGTTTTTCATGCTTGAGTCAGCTCCCGCCCTGCGACAAGCCAGAGAAGTCCAAGGCGACGGCAAAATCCTGAGGCAAGGTCGTGAACGCTCCATGGCAGCAGCTCTTCAAGCGAGAATCGGTGTAGCATATGACGACAGCATCGATAATCGTCGCCCTAATCGACTCATGACATCTTGCAAGCAAGCGAATCACGAGAAACCAATGACAAATCGGGCAGAATTCTGCCGTCCCTCCCATGCCAAGGCCCGATAACACAAAAAAAGCAATCTTCCGCAAGACAGAGCTCGAACCATTCGAAGCCAACTCTTGAGCTTCCGGCATCCAAGTTCTGTGACTTGCTCTCCTTCTTGCGCCAGGTCGTCTGAATGCCCTTCATGCCCTGAATGCAGCGGCAAGAGTCCATGCTGCATGAACTGCATGGTTCATGGGACTGCACTCAATTTGGCAGCTGAGAACACATGAGGTTCCAACAATCGAGGTGTTGTGAGGCATTTTCGTGAAGTTGAGCATGCGCACCTGAGAATTCCATTTAACCGACATGCCGACAAATGACGGATGCCTGCCCTGAGAGCAAGGCCTTGTTTCCTGCCAGGAACCTGAACTGTAGGCAATGGACCAGTCCAGTTCTGAATCATACTGTGTTACCAGCAAGTGTCGAAGCTGGAGGCAAACACTCCTGATCGCTGAGCCACACACGCCTGAGAGAGGGCCTCGCTGCCCAAGCTCACCTTCTTGACCTGCAAGTGTGTGGCTGAAACAGACAGCCTGTCAGCCCACGCCCTCGAAGGGCACCACAATAGTTCAGCAGTGTTGCCATACAACACGTCTTTTGAGCCCCGGTGTCGAAGAACGTAACGCTTGGACAGGGGGCGAACTGCACAGTCCAGGGAAGGGCATGTATTCTCATTATCATTATTACTACTCTTATAGTTGCTATCACTACGATTCCTACTTCCTCCTCCTCCTCCTACTACGACGACGACGACTACTACTACTACTACCACTACTACGACTACTACTACCACTACCACTACCACCACCACTACTACTACTACTCTACTGCTACTGCT